GCAGGACATGTGCTGTCTGTGTATGTGAGGAGGCACAAGAAAGCCACAGCAAAGGGGTGGAGTGTCATAGGAGATGTGGTAAAGAAATAACTAATTATGGAGTGAAGGTGTGGGATGAAGATAGATGAGGACTGATTGTGTAGTACCTGGTGGGTGATTCTGAGCACTTTGGCCTTTACTGAGGGAGACGGGAAGCCCTTGCAAGTAAGAGACTTTATCACTCTAACCTGCTGTTTTGAGAATCAACTATGGGGCAGGGGCCAAAAAATCATACAGATGACAGGGTGGTGGTGGCTTGGATGTAAAGTGGTAACAAGTAGAAAGGTGGCTAGATTCTGAGTATATTTTCATATCAGAACCAACTGTTGCAGATGGGGTGTGGGATATGAAAAAAAGAGGAGTCAGAGATGGCAAAAAGCTTTGGAGATCAGCAAACATGGTGGATGGACTTACTACTTATTGAGATCAGAGAGGCTGTAGTAAGTGTCGATATTTGGGGGAAGGGGTGCAAATTTGTCTGTTTAGTTTGAGAACCATATTTGATTCTAAGATAACATGTTGAGTAGGCAGTTAGCCATACAAGTCTGTAGTTCAGTGTAGCCCTCCAGGAACTACAAATATAAATTTGGAAGTTACCAGCATTTGAAGTATGAGAAGAGGAAAGTTCACTAGGGGAGCAATTGTAGGCAGAGCAGAGTTTCAAGAAATGAAGTGGTTGTTGGATGGGGATGTCTTAAGAGAGGTTTTTTTTTTTTTTTCCCTTTCTAAAGGCATGTAGGCTAATGAGATGAGAATGATTCCACAGGAAGGAAAAGGTGATGCTGGAAGTACAGAAAATTTCTCAAGCAATTCTCTCACAGTTGAAGGAATTTCTTCTACTTGCTTCAAAGATTGCTGACATGCAGCATCCTGTCTGTGGGTGGGAAATGATATATAGAAGCACTGAGATGGATAAAAGGCCAGAGAAGTAGGCATTAAAAACATTGTTCACCATGATGGCCAGGTATGGTGGCTCACGTCTATAATCCTAGCACTTTGGGAGGCTGAGGTAGGCGGACTGCCTGAGCTCAGGATTCCGAGACCAGCCTGGGCAACATGGTGAGATTCCATCTCTACTAAATATGTATGTGTGTGTGTGTGTGTGTGTGTGTGTGTGTGTGTATGCTGGACATGGTGGCAAGCACCTGTAGTTCCAGCTACTTAGGAGGCTGAGGCACAAGAATCACTTCAACCTGGGAGGCAAAGGTTGCCATGAGCCGAGATTGCACCACTTCACTCCAGCCTGGGCGACAGAGCGAGAATCTGTCTCCAAAAACAACAACAACAAAAAAACATTGTTCACCCTGAGAATCAATGATAAAACTTAAGCAATACGAGAGTAGTAGAATATACAATGAATATATAAAACTCAAATAGCCTAGAAACTATATATCTGAAAACAGATCCAAACCTAGGATAATAAAGAACTCTCAAAGCTCAATAGTAAAATAAAATAAAACATCCCATCAGAAAGTAAGCCAATGACATGAAGAGAGATTTCACCAAAGAACATACATAAATAGAAAATAGGCACATAAAAAGATGTTCAATATCATGAGCCATTAAGGAAATGCAAATTAAAATCACAAGACATTATCGCTACACACCTAGCAGAATGGCTAAAATAAAACATAGTAAAAACACCAAGTGCTCATGAGTATGTAAAGAAACTGGATCTCTCAAACACTGTTGGTGAGAATGTAAGATGGCAATTTATACAATGACAAATTAGTTTGTCAGTGTGTTAAAAAAACTACACATATACCATACAACCCAAGAATTGTACTCCCAGGGACTTACCCCACAGAAATGAAAATGTATGTCAATACAAAAACCTATTAAATGTTCATAACAGCTTTATTTGTAAAAGCCAAGAACTAGAAACAACACACATGTCTCTCAATAAGCAAATGGCTCAGCAAAATGCTACTCAGAAACAAAAATGAATGAACCATTGATATACATAACTTGGATTAATCTCAAGAGCATTATGATGACTCTTTGAAGGTTCCATATTATATTATTCCATTTATATAACATTCTTGCAATGGCAGAATTATAGAGATGGAAACAGATTAGTGATTGCTAAGGGTTAGGGATAGTTGTGGAAGATGGTAGGTGTGACTATTAAAGGGTAGTATGAGGGAAAACTTTGTGGTAATGTAACATGTCTGCTACTTGATTGCAGTGATGGTTACACAAATCTGTACAAGTGATAAAATGACATAGAACTATACATACAGACTGTACCAAGGTCAGTTTCCTAGTTTTGATCTCACAGTTATTTAAGATGTAACCACTGGGGGAAACTGAGTAAAGGCTACATGGGACCTCACTGTATTATCTTTGCAATTTTTTGTGAATCTATAATTATTTCCAAATAAGATGCTTAAAAAAATGCATGCATGCATGCATGCATGAATGAATATAAAAGTTTTCCCTCTCCCCATTACATTACAGATATTAAAATTCCAAATCCATTGTGTGTGTATTATACAACTAAGCAAATGAGTTATTAATATATTGATGTTATTGGGTGCTGGAATTCTCATTGTAGAAGAACATCTATAAGGAATTTTTACGTATCTACAAATATAGAATGGCTGGAGGAGTGCTGAGGGGTTGGATTGGAATTGGAGATCAGCATAATGAATTAGTTATTTCGCATATATGTCTACATGTATACATATGTTTACATGTCTACATATAGACATATATAGAATTTGTATGCATGTATACATATATGTGATTTTTTTTTCCCTAGCTCTATTGCTGAAAGATCCAGAAGTAATGACATTCTGGTAGCAATGAGCATATTCTAGCTCCCAGATCTCAGTTTCTAAATATTACTCCTAACTAAAAGTAACCAAATGCCCACTGACAGATCACTGTATAAAGAAAATGTGGTATATACACACAATATAGTTTAGCTGTTTCCCCACCCGAATCTTGAATTGTATCTCCCAGAATTCCCACGTGTAGTGGGAGGGGCCCGGGGCAGGTAATTGAATCATAGGGGCCAGTCTTTCCTGTGCTATTCTTACGACAGTGAATAAATCTCACGAGATCTGATGGGTTTATCAGGGGTTTCCGTTTTGCTTCTTCCTCATTTTCTCTTGCTGCCACCATGTAAGAAGTGCCTTTCACCTCCCGCCTGATTCTAAGGCCTTGCCAGCCATGTGGAACTGTAAGTCCAATTAAACCTCTTTTTCTTCCCAGTCTCAGGTATGTCTCTATCAGCAGCATGAAAACGACTAATACAGTAAATTGGTACCAGTAGAGTGGGGCACTGCTGAAAAGATACCCGAAAATGTGGAAGTGACTTTGGAACTGGGTACCAGGCAGAGGTTGGGACAGTTTGGAGGGCTCAGAAGAAGACAGAAAAATGTGGGAAAGTTTGGAACTTCCTAGAGATTTGTTGAATGGCTTTGACAAAAAAAGCTCATAGTGATATGAACAATAAGGTCCAGACTGAGGTGGTCTCAGAGGGAGAGGAGGAACTTGTTGGGAACTGGAGCAAAGGTGACTCTTGCTATGTCTTAGCAAAGAAACTGGCAGCATTTTGCCCCTGCCCTAGAGATTTGTGGAACTTTGAACTTGAGAAAGATGATTTAGAGTATCTGGCGGAAGAAATTTCTAGGTAGCAAAGTATCCAAGAGGTGACTTGGGTTCTGTTAAAAGTATTCTATTTTAAAAGGAAAACAGAGCATAAAAGTTTAGAAATTTTGCAGCCTAATGATGTAGTAAAAAAGAAAAACCCATTTTCTGAGGAAAAATTCAAGCTGGCTTCAGAAATCTGCATAAGTAACAAGGAGCCAAATGTTAATCCCCAAGACAATGAGGAAAATGTCTCCTGGGCATGTCATGGGTTTTCATGGCAGCCCCTACCCACCCCTATCACAGACCTGGAAGCCCAGAAGGAAAAAATGGTTTCGTGGGCTGGGCCCAGGGTCCCCACGCTGTGTGCAGCCTAGGGACGTGGTGCCCTGAATCCCAGTCACTCCGGCCATTGCTAAAAGGGGCTAAGGTACAGCTTGGCCCATGGTTCAAGTGATTTTATGTTACTACATTTTAAAATTTCTCTACAATGAACATATACTACTTTTAAAAAGTAAAATGAATAAAATAAAACCAACAATGACTAAGCGGACGCAAAGGAAAAAAGCTGGAAGGGAAATAAAGGCCAACAGTGCTTTGTGATTGCATGATGGTATCATGGATGATATATTTCTTTCCCTATTTCTAACCCTGTGATTTGACTAAGATGTGACTTCTTCCTCTTACCCCTTTCTTTAAAACTTTTGCATCTGTTGCTCTTAAGGTATATTTAGTATCTTTTTAGCATTAAGTGACACCACTTGTTTGGCATCTAGGGTTATTTTCCTGCTGCCCAGGACTGAATCTTTACACAATGGCTACCTCTGGTAACAATTTCCAGCTGTGGAGCAGTTCTATAGAATTTTCACCCCTGCCTTATGCTGTCCCATTCCTGCTCTCCTTGAATAGCATATAGTCTAGAGTAAAGATAAGTAAAGAGGAGTATTCTCGTGGAGTGAGAAGGTATGTCTGGATGTCTTTTCTTTTGTAAAACCTTTTAAAACACTATCACCATCCATTAGCTTCCTCCACACTTTCTCTGTAATTAGGCAAAGTGATGTTATCTATAACCTTCTAGAACAAAGCTTGGTGCAAATCAAATCCTTCCTACTTGTCAAGATGATAAATCCTAGCTCAGCAGAGTCCTATAGAAATGGGGCTTTCAAAGACAGTCCAGCACAAGGGGAAGTGAACCTAGCTCTCCAACCCACAGAATATTACTAATTAGATGCCACTTCCCGAGCTCCTAACAAAGGAATTTTTAATTGCTAGCAATGTACATAATTCAGGGATGCAGATTTCAAATATACATCAAAAAGGTAGGCAAATTTGGGCAAATTTTTTTAAATTGCCAACATACTTACAGTTTTTTCATTATTTTCAAAAGCTTCTCTTGCTTCTTCAAATGTACAGAATTCTTCTTTGCACTCACGCTCAATGTTGCCCTGTCTTATTTCTTCAAAAAACCCATTAGCTCTTGGGTAGCGTTTTAATACGGAATTGGCTTTTTCTCCCGTGAGGAAAACTAAAAAGAAATATAATAAGAAGCATAAAAATGTAATAAAAAACCTATGTGAGAAGTTGATATACCAGATGAAAACTGCAAGATGCTCTTTAGAAAACATAGCCAACATCCTAAGCCTCTTTCGGTGAGTCAGCAATGAAGTAACACTCAGCTCCAAACCACTGTATCTGCTATCTTCTTCATCATGTGAGTATGTCCTTTCAATAGCAGTTGCCCTGGGCAGGGACAGTGACATAACTAACTATGTGATATTCAGACTTTAGCACATTCCTGCAAACCATGGGTATTTAAATATAGTAATAATGATAGCACTACTTATTCTCATTACTGTAAGTAGATACCCCAAGGCATTCTGCTGACGGACAGCAGCAGCCAAATCAAATCCAGTCTCTAGATTATCAGTCTTTGTCCGTCTACCTAAAAATAAATAACACTTCAGTTGACCTAGTAATATAAACCCAGAGAGCTCTTACTTGTATGAAAAGAATAGGTTTTAAAAAAAAAATTGAGAAGTTAAATTTGGCCATGATTCATTCTATGAAAATCCTAATAATAATTTTGTTCTAAATGTACTTGAGTTAAATACAGTGTGATGCTTTTTAACACATTCAACCTCATTTCACTGTCCTTTAGAAAAAGAAAATTCTTCTGCATGATTTACAGAGGCATTTCAATATAAACATTCAAAATACATTTGTGAAACCATGTAAAATAATAAGATTATTTTATTTTAATAATAAAATATAAAAATAAAAAATAAGATTTTTTATTTTTAAATACAAATAGATTTTAAGTTCAATTTCAATTACATTTTTCTAAAAGAGTGTTGCTTGTTTGGAGAGACAAATATAATGCCACCAGAATTTCATCTCTGTTAATGCAAGAGATTAGAACATTTCCTAATTTATAGAATTCTGACATGAGAAAAGGCATATTACGGATCTTTCAAGATGCTAAAAAAGTCTACATTTTCTGAAAAACATTTTGAAGGAAATGAAAAACTTTAAAAGAGTTATGTGCTCTTTTAAAAATGACAATGACAGTCAGCAATGGAGTAAAGTTTTGCTTTGTTATAGAAATGAGTATTTTACTTTATAGAATATATGGACTTATTATTTAGGATTCTTTAAAGTATCCAAATTGATACCAGCTAGATGGCACTTATACCAGAGTGAAAACCATGATAGGCCTTCAATGAGTATTTCCTTCTGTACCTCAGAAAGGGTTGCCTTTATGACCCTTTATGAGGTACAGAAGGAAGGAAATTCAGAGAATAGATTATGATTATGGAATATGAATTCACAGATTCATAGAATATCATTAGAACAAACTTTAGAAAATACAAATTGTGGTAAGTGTAATGAAGGAAAGCAAAAGGTTACTGTTAAGTTGGAGAATAATAGTAAAATTTTCTAACAATGCTTCTTGCCTTTTAGCCGCATCAGAATCCCTGAAGGACTATCACACAGACTGGTGGGTCCCACTCCAGAGCTTCTGATGCCATAGATCTGAGGTAGGGTTATAAAATTACATTTCTACTCAGTTCCCAGGAAATGCTGCTGCTGCTGCTGCTCCCATTACCACAGTCTGAGAATCACTATCCAAATGAGAGTTCCTTGGAAACATTCTGAGGAAGTATTTATGGAATGCTAGGGTTAACAAATTTAAAGAGATCTTTCACTGAATGACTTTTTAGGGTCCTTAATATATATTTAGTATAAACAGTCATGCATCACTTAACAATGTGGATCCATTCTGAGAAATATGTTAAGCTGTTTCATCATTGTGCAAACAGGACGGAGTGTATTGTCGCAAACCTAGATGGCATAGCCTACTAGTCACCTAGGCTATATGATATAGCCTGTTGGTCCTAGGCTATAAATCTATTCAGCTTGTTACTATACTGAATACTATAGGCAATTATAACAATGGTAAGTATTTGTATATCTAAACATTGAAAATGTACAGGAAAAATATGATATAAAAGATAAAAAATGGTACTGTACAGGGCACTTACCATAAAAGGAGTTTGCAGGGCACTTATCATAAATGGAGCTAACAGGATTGAAAGTTGGCCTGAGTGAGTGGTGAGTGAATGTGAAGGCCTAGGACATTACTGTACACTACTGTAGACTTTATCAACACTGTCCACTTAGGCTACATTAAATATATAAAAATATATTTCTTAAAAAAAATATTTTGGTTGGGAGCGGTGGCTCATGCCTGTCATCCCAGCACTTTGGGAGGCTGAGGTGGGAGGATTGCTTGAGCCCAGGAGTTCGAGACCAGCCTGGGCAACACAGTGAGACCTCATTCAAAAAAATTAAAATTAACTTAAAAAATAAAAAATAAAATGAAATGAAAATAAAAAGAAGGAAAATGTTTTTCCTTCTTCAGTAATAAATTAACCTTAGCTTCCTATAACATTTTTACTTTATACTCTTTTTAAATTTTTAACTTTTTAACTCTTTAGTGATAACACAACTTAAAACACACATTGTACAGCTGTACAAAAATATTTTATTTCCTTATATATATCCTTATTCTATAAGCCTTTTTCCTATTTAAAAATTTTATTGTATTTTTTTACTTTTTAAACTTTTTTGTTAAAAATTAAGACACAAGCACACACATTAGCCTAGGCCTCCACAGGGTCAGGATCATCAGTATCACTGTCTTCCACATCCACATCTTATCCCACTTGAAGGTCTTCGGGGACAATAACATGCATGGAGCTGTCATCTGCTATTATAACAATGCTTTCTTCTGTACTACCTCCAGAAGAACTCGCTTGAAGCTATTTTATAGTTAATTTTTTTCATAAGTAGAAGGAGTTCACTCCAGAATGACAATAAATAGTAAATACATTATTAGCCAGCATCATAGTCATTTGTTATCATTTTCAAGTATTATGTACAATATATAATTGTATGTACTATACTTTTATATGACTAGCAGTGCAGTAGGTTTGTTTACTCCAGTATTGCCACATACATGTGAGTAATGTGTTACACTGTGATGCTATGATGTCAATAGGCAATAGAAACTTTTCAGCTCCTAATCTTATGGGACCATCATTGTATACGCGGTCTATTGTTGACTGAAACATCATTATGCATGCATGTATTTGTAAGTCTCCTGAAACGGAACATGATACATGCATTTGTGATATTTGACTACAGTACCCTTTTTCAAGAGATATTTTACTGATTTAACAACTTCCTAGTCATTGGTCTTATTTATACCCTCTGAATTAACACGTAAGTCTCCTCCATATAACAGGCCAACTAATACAGGAAGAAAGACAGTAAATGGTTTCCCGTGGGACTTCTCTTTTCCAGAATAAACATATCTTGTTTCTTCATCTGTTTGCCATAGAAAATGGATTTGAGTCTGCATCATCTTCCTCTGAAAATACAGTGACCTATGCTGAGTGCAATACTTTGTGTTTGGTCTGACAAGTGCAAAACTGATCAGGATTATCGGCTTCCTTGTTTTAAAGACAATACATATGTTAATGTGGTCTAAGATATCCCTGGGTTTTGAATCAGTTTTTCTGAGGATAAATCAAACAATCAACATTAATGTATTTTGAACTTTTAAGAGAAGAAAGCTAAATGCTTCTAAGAGGCAATTATTTTCTTATATGCTATCCAACTCAAAAAGGTGAGTCAAAGCAAGCCACTAACTCCAGTAACCGGAAAGCAGTCTAATTTAGAAGAATAAGCAATTGGAAGGTAATATAGCAGGACACAAAGCTTCTAATCCAAGTCTAATCAAATTATCAAGCATTCCATAATCATCTTCTATGTATTTCTTGTACTGGGCGGCAAGGTAATATAATACTGAGAACTCTGCATGGATTCAGTTGGCAAGTAGATTTTATCTCACTTGCCAAATCCAGTCCATTAGAAGATATCACTTAAAGTAAGAATCTGACCTGTAGGAAAGATACTATTATAGATTAGTTATGTCTGCCACATATTAGGGAACAGGAAGTAGTGGCAGAGAATTTGCCAGTGCTCATCAAAGTATTTGGAAGCCTAATGGACCCTAAATGATGATACCAGAACTAAATTATTTTCTTTTTTGCCCATGACACAGCCCTCAGGAGATCCTGAGAACATGTGCCCCTAAAATTAGAATTTTTTAAAATGTGAAAACAAAATAAAGGAGAAGGTGGCAGCTTTGATCTCTAGGATGAAATCAGACTACCTCCTCTAAAAACATGGGGCAGTTTCCAGGATGCAAGGTCTTGCGTTAGGACATTTAACTAAAGCCATGATGTTTGAAACTAAAGTTGATCACTTCCTTAAATTGAGTGATCACTTCCTTAATTGCCTCTTTCTCCTTAAATTGTGTGAGTTAAATTACAGCTATCAGGAATCATGTGCATGCCTTAATGAAGGATTACATGATGTGACAAGTATACAGAATGTAAATGTGCCTTGAGAACACAATACTGGGGTGTTATTTAACACACGAAGGTTTCCCATTAAAGGAAATAAAGAAAAACCTAAACTTTTTTTCTGCAGATTCAGTTAGGAAACACTCTTATTAAATATTTCAAATCCAAGGCATATTTACACATACATACACACAAAATAAGTATATTTATTCAAAAAATGTAACCACTTTTTCATAATTTCAAAATAAATAAGCTCTCACCCATGCTTTCTCTTCAAAAGAAAATAATAAAAATAAATGACATAAGTAGATGCAACAAGTCACAAAGATGAGTAGCAGGTGACCTCTGCCCTCAAGGTTCTTCAGTGCAAGAGGTAACAGAGATATAATAAAAGAGATACACAAAGAGTTCTATTGTAAGACTGAACATGATGGATGTTCAAGGTCAAAAGGCAGGCATATTTCTGGTGGGTGTGTGAGTTTGTGGTTTGGATGCCCTAATTTATTTATTTATTTATTTACTTACTTAACTTATTTATTTATTTATTTTTGAGACAGAGTTTTGCTCTGTAGCCCAGGCTAGAGTACAGTGA